AGTTACCAAAGTTGGAGAGTTTAGGAAAACTTGATATTCTTTATTTAATCACTTAATAAACGGAGATGGGTGGTTATGATACAAATTTCCTTTACAAAATTACTATCTCATGGCCTTATTTAAAATAGTTTGGTTTGTTAATAGGAATTTGTTTGAATTACAGCTGAGGCTATCCACAATGTTTTTAATGTACAACAGATTTAATGTCCGATTGATTCCAACAATTGGCTATTTCCCCGTTCATTCAGTGGATGTGCGTAATATCGATGAGTGTGTTTTACCAATTATTTCCATTCAAATATCTAGAGTTTCTCCTATTCCCCTGGTATGAACATTTCAGTACTCCACAAGCTAGTGTCAAATTAATAGCACAAATACCGTGAAAATTAGGGCTTCAAACTAACCTGTGGTGAAAAATGCAATGTGTTTTACAACATATCTACTAAACGAACGGAGAGATGACTGAAAATGTTGAATCTAACATATCTTTTTTTTAAAACGCTGCTGATGTACTTTTCCTGTTGTCACCTTTTAACCATATGGACAAGGATTGATACTTTTATGTAGCGGTTAACCTTTTCAGTAGTGAGAATTTAATTAAGAATAAAGTGGTAACTTTCGAAGTTTTTTTTGGAATTCACAGATAAAGGTGTGGTATTTGTATGAACTAATGATTCCTTGGTACTTGATTGCCGCCGAGTACGGATTAAAAATATAATAAGTTCATTGGTGCTCATCTAGTTGTACTTGTCTCCGACTGCACCATTTCGGAATTTCTTAAGACAGTGATTTGAATGATTCTAACTTTTATAAAAAGCCAGTTGTTACCCACTTTTGTGGAAGCTATTTTACTTTGTCTCTCAACAGTCTTACAAATAATAAGAGGAAAATTGTTTAACCATCATTCAATGAAAAGAACAGTGAGCAATCAAAACTATTCAAAAGCCTATTCCTCATGATGTTTATTCTATCCCAAACACTGTTGACTACTAATTTACTTCATTTTTGTTAAAAATGATTTCCTATCTTTATTATATCTATACTCTAGAGTTGTAAAAATAACTGAAACAGTAAGCAGTTTTATTCACGTAATCCTCAGGTTATCATTCCATAACACAATTTTGTCAGCTTATCAGTGAGTTATCAAGAACATCGTAAAATCTGCAAGATATCATTTGTAAGAGTTGACTATAATCTAATAGAAAACACGAACTTATGTAAAAGGCTTTAAATGATTCTAAAATCAAAGAAATTTGAAGAACTCTAAATCGAGCATTTGTTTCAGACTACGTAAATATATGTATGACAGAGCATCCCTATGACGAATCAGTACTAAAAGATAATAGACTATTTGAAGTTTTGTTATGGCTTCGTATCTGATGTTCTACATCCATTTTACTCTTTTTCTTCGAAACACTGAGGTTACTGGGATCACATAGATAGTTTCTCTTAGTATTTATACCATTCATAATTCCATCTAGTGTGTATATTTTCTGTTATTGATTTGTAACGGTTTATTTAAGTCTTAATGTTGATTTCTTAGTGCGAATAAACTTTGTTAGCTAACTACAATTCCCATTATACATACTTCAATTCTCGCTACATTCACTTTTCTTTAAATTGTTGCTCATCGTTTTGGTATTCAACAAACCTGTTTTAAATATTTCTAGTTAGTGCTCCGAGATTTTCTCGATCTTTATAATGTCACAACATATTTGTGGCATTTTAATTTTAATATCATGAAATTCGGGTCCATCGGTACTGTTGTAATTTGGTAGCCTACTGTTATTTTTGGTACGTTGTCGCCGTTATGTACGTATCGACTCTGTTGAGTTTACAATATTACTGCCTTTACTTAAAAATCAGGAAGCACTGCAATTTCTTAATCCTGCTGCTTATACTGAGAAACGGGAACCACTAAAATTCCCAAGACGTAAAGTAGAAACACGAAAAAATGATCAAATGAAAATTTATTTACTCCTCAAACCACGTCTTCAAACAAGTCCCAAATCATATCCAAAACAACGCCACCCCTAGACCACAACACTATCATTTATATGCAAAATCTAATATACACAGCTACCGTAAAAACATTTTGATGACCTACTTTTATCAAGAGAACGCGATGGGTTTAATGGAAACAATTATTATTATAACCAATTGTACCAGTGATTGTTTTATTGTACTCGTTTGTTTCACTGTACTAAAGACATCCATTATTCTTCCATTCTTTCTTCCGTCGATTGTGACCTTTCACGAACTTACGTTTGCTCAGTGATTCCGCTTGTACTCCTTTGGCACGATCTCGGTATTCTTTCGATACCGCGAGATCGCCAATAAATATATCTCGCTACAACCGTTAATCGCCTTCTGATATCTGGTATGTAACCTTATTATATTGGTGATCATAGTCAACCGCAACCCGACGCCACACTGCAACATAATAAACATTGTTCCCATGAATTGAAACAGGGAAAAAACAGTTAAGTAAATGTCAGAACATTATATCTCAAGTATTCATCCACTTCCTTATTTACTATGGGCATTATGTTTTTTATCATTTCACATTGAACGTTGAAAAGCTTTGTGTGTTTGAAAAAAATCCTGTGGCCCAATGAACTCTCCGTGACTTAAATGAAAACCTCTTCAATACTAATCTGTTTTCTTCGGACAGTAGAATGAGGAGTATCCACCGGCCTGTAAATCTAATTCACACAAAGACTAACGGTATTCGAAATTAATATTTTGTATAGCTGACTCATATTCGTTCTCATTGTTTTTGACTATTTTCATCGATGTTACAGTTCAATTATTTAATTCTTTTGCTTGAATTATTTCTGGTACACTACAACCAGTAGATGTCGTGTTACAAGTTTGTAGCTTAGTCGACCATATTTGATTATAATAACCAAATACAGATTGAATGAAGGGCGAAAAAAGATGAAGAAAAGAGAGTTCTAAGTTATCAGACTACAGGACCAAACTTAAGTGGAAATGAGAATAAATGCATACAGGACAGGTGAATATTTCAATGACGTCGAATCGAGCCTCAATCCAAGCAAGCAGGTATGAAATTTTGCGAAGACTTTAACATGAATCATTACGATAGCACTCTGGTGAGACCAGCTTATTCGGAAGGGGGCGATTACATGATGAATTCAATAAAGTTAAGAACCCTAGATCAAATAGGTAGACAATACATCTCCGTTGGTATCAAACTAAAAAGCTTCCTCTGAAACATCAAGCTTAAGCTTTTATGACCTTAGGCGTTCTGTGAGAGAACTGAAGTACTTAGGTTAGATCCGTCAATGATTGAGTATTTCAGAGACTATATGGCTCAGAAATGGAGGACTAACAATTCTAATTTTTCTCCGCCCTTATACGAAACATATTATGCTTTTGGTAAGAACATACTTGTCCTCCAAAGGTTCTTATGAGGCAGTATACCCTGACTTCCATGATAGGGTGAGTCAACATGGACAATGATTTCAGTTAACGAGTTCGGTTCATTAGCTATTGCCATAGTTGTTCAAAAATGCAGTAATAAACAAGTTGCAATAATGTTAGCATTGTATTTGAAGAAGAGAGTAATAATAATAGAATAATAATAAACCAGGTTCTTTGTAATTGAGAAGAATATTGAATTGAGTTTAAGGAAAGAAAGGAAGAAAATAAAGGAATAGAAATAAAGGAGACGTAAAGTACGCAAGTAGTTTAACAGGCGTGTTTATGAACACAGAACAAGAATAAACGACTATGTATATATCGTCAAACTAGTAAAACATTTGATAATGTGCCAACAAATAGACGGCCGTTAAATCTGGAAAACCTAGGCATTGCCGGACCTCTCCTAAAGTAGCTTAAGGACTTTTTGGCAGGTTGTAGACAAAAAATGAGAGTAAATTCGAAGTGTTCCACATGGAGACCGGTACTTTGTGGAGTACCTCAAGGTACTGCCCTGGGTCATTTTTATACTTCATGTAAATGATCCACCAAGTATAGTTGAGTCCCCAAAGTTACTATACGCTGACGATGTAAACATCTGCAGAGAAATAGCAGGAGGCGCAGATGCATGAGCACTTCAGGCTGGTCTAAAGAGTGGCTGATGCCTATCAACATGGCAGTGCCTGAATGCATTCCGGGGATACAAAAATAAGTAGGTACATCACAGGAGATGTGCCTGTACCCGTGAACCGGTCTCGAAAGAACCTTGAGAGTCACGATATTAAGACAACAGCCTATTGTCGGGAGGTCTCAGCTAACGGGTTTGAAACTCTCTAGGCTTTAAAACGGACATTCACTAGATTAGATACTACAATGTTCACTACAGTATAAAAAACCTTAGTGAAAAATAAGCTTGATAACTGCGTTCAGACTGCAAGCTCCCACTTAGAAGGAGACTCATGTATCCTGGAAAAAGTACAGAAGGCAGTTGCCATTTACTTCCAGAACTCCAAAGTTTATTATACAAAGAGCAACCTGAAAAGCTAGACCTCGTTACTCTGTCCTACTCCAGATTAAGAGGTGATCTGATTTTGATGTATATGATACTAGGAAGTGATTATGGACCTAAAAAATCTTCTTTTTGTCTCCCCACTAGATCTGGACATCTCAGAGGGCACAGCAAGTGAGTAAAAATGCCACGAACGAAAAAACTACCCGTGACATACAGGTTTTCACACCAAGTTATCAATTCTCGGAACCTGTTACCGAAAGCAATGGTGTCTGCACCTTCAACTAACCCATTTAAGAGAAAACCAGACACTTACAGAAGCATATCAAAAAAGGAATAACATAGGCCGTATGCCTTCTGTCCATACTAAACAAGCTAAAACCTCAATGTTTGCACTAGTTCAGTACAAAGATATTTAATATTCAATTTGACAAAAAATTTTATAAAATAGAGTTCAGAGATTCAGAAAGATGAAGGCTTGATAAAATAAATACCTTTTATTTATACCATTGGATATTGTTTTGTTTTGTCAAACCATTTTATGAATTGCTAATGCCGCTTGACATAGCACACAGTTGATATCATGCCACCGAAGAAAGGTAAGAGCAAAAACCCCGACAAAAAGCCGAAAAAGGTAGAAAACTTAACACCGAAAGAAGCCATTCTTGATTACCAAATAGGTAATCTCCGGGATGTACTTTCTAGGCTGAAGTTTAAGAGAGAAACACTTAAAAATATGCTTATGGAGAAGTTGCAGATTCTCAACACACTTAAACTGGAAGGCGAAAAAATGCTCAAAGATACTTTATTGAAAGTTTCAAAAGTTTCAACATCTGATGACACTACTATGTCAGGTGACGACGTGAAAAATTACTTGCTTGAGACGTGGAAGATAAGAGATTTGGAGGAAAATGAAGTTAACAAAATTCAAGATGAAATCAAATTAACACAGAATCTTACAAAAGATGTTGTTTTGGAGCTCAAACAATGGCAAGTGTATTCTGATGTAACGAAGAAATCAAATGAACTACGTATCCAAATGTTAGAAACAGAGTATACTAATATGAAGCAACGTTTTGAATCAATGGTAGAATATTTGACCAAAGAGGAGAACCAGAGTTATTTGAATGTTCAAACAAATATTGAGTGTTCTTCGGAGCACATCAGAAACTCAGTAATTGAAAATGCTATCGACACATTAAATAAATTATTTTCGCAACAAATGCTCCAAAACAAATGGTTGAAAATCGAAAAAGAATCACTTGATGAAAAGATGGAACGCATCGTGAATGAAATTGGAAATCTTCAGAGAGAAAACATAGCCGCTGAAGAAGACATTTTCCACGTTAACTTCACACATATGTTGATACCTTCATCTTTTTGCGACATTCAGGTTACTGATGCAGATGATTTACATAAAAGTACTATTCTCGACCTAAAACTAGACCAGGATGTGTTTGGTATTGAAAGTCATACAGGTAAGCGAAAAACTCACAGCGAGATTTTTCTAATCTGTTTTAGCCTTGAAAAACTTTGAAAACAAAACCTACAAAAATAGAAGATACCTAAATACTATAAACGAAAGACTGCTTACTTCTATCTGTAATCCTGATCTAAAGATTCTTCATAGATTAAACGAAGATGAGACATCAAATCAAACTGCCGAATTAGAAAACCTCACAGCCTTTGGACCACTTGGGAAAAAATTATGCTTCCTCCAAGGTCTTTCCGCTAAGATCGACCAACAGAGTAACTCATGTTCAGCTGAGCTTCAAGCCCAACTCAAATTTAACCCAGAACTCGGCAATTGGCCTGTGAATAGAGACATGTTTCTTAAATATCTATCAGATCACAAATGAAATAGTAATCTAAACATTTTGGTAGAATGTCATGATCTCCTAAGTAAAATGGTAAGTAGTCACCACTCTAAGTGAATGGATATTGTTCAATTATCATATCGGCATGATCAGTTTACCCGTAGTCTGTTGAAGCGTAAATCAGCATTACTACATAAAATGCCCTGTAAAAACATTTCAAATATGTGGACCATATCGCAACCTTTGGATACAAACTGTCTTATTCACTTCATTTCTGTTTATAACTTTTCTTTTTGTCTTCATGCAAATTTTTGTTACTCCTTGGCATTACCCACATCATATAAAGGCTTAACATAGGATCACCAAGACAATTCTCACAGGCTTGTGTAAACTAGTACTAAAATTGTAATTTGAGTTTGTGTTGCATTCCTTCACATGTCCATTTATGTGCACCTTCCTTCTGAAGCTAAACATTTTATAACATTAATTGCCTAGCCACCGTTTTAGCTTTTAGCATTCATGAATTTTGTCTAATTGTGTTCGTAACTCTACTCTTTCAAAACCCATTCTAGAACTTGCTTATATGTGAGGACAGGTACACCCTTATAAGATGACAGCAGTCCTTTTTAAATCAGCTTTAACCAACCCGAAACTTGAAATAAATTTTCAATAACCCTAATTATAACATATTATCAACTAAGAAAGATAAAATAAGTAAACTGAATATAAAAAAGTAAAATAAACGTAACAGTATGACAATGGTGGAAAAAATAAACGAAAAAAATGGTTTAGAAAAAGGAGTAAACTTTCTGTAATATTGGGACTTCGAAAATATGGGGTGATAAAAAACAAATTTACTAACCTCATCCTAACTGATTTTAATCCATATCACCCAAGGTTTGCAGTCACTGATGAAAACTCTTATGTTGGCTTTACCCTGGTAGTCTGTACTTACAACAATAGTTTAAAATAACAATCAGAAACTCTATAGAATAGTCCACATCTGAATTAAGCCCTTTCCACCTTTTCTTTGACTGAACTATTCTTCAATGTTAGCAACCTGTGTGTTTTGTTTATAAATGTGTAACTGATGAAAGAGCATGTACGATATACCTCAGTTTATCTAGTTATAAGTATTTGGTCTTTTCATCTATAAATAATATACGCAGTTTTGAATAATTCGCTACTATTGAGTAAAGACGTAAGTAGCATCTTATCTTACCGGCCAGTAGTAATTATAAATGATAACTTTGAAAGCCAATTCGACTAACAGAAACTATCCAGAAGAGTAACAAATACAATTATCAAATGTAAGCTGATGGTTGAGGTTACAAGATAACTACAAACACTTGACTTATTTAAAGACCATATATATATTATGCCAAGCTGAACGACAAAAAATCGAATGACATTAGATCTTTTACAAATGACTAACCGATGAAACATACCCTAATGTAATCTGGCCATTAGATTGATCAGTTCGTTGATTTTATGAATACTTTAGGCAAGTCTTTATTTTTACATCATGAAAACAGATTAGAACGTCACATGGCTAGACGTTTTCTATGTCACAATCAAACAAATAAATTTTAAGAAACGTTTATTTTGTTTTACTTGTTGTCACGACAACTTTCAATCAAGCCTGTCGCTTAGAAGCGTTTCAAACCGACTTGAAAACCGAATGTTCAAGTTATTTCTAAACTTCCCCTCTCTTTGCTGTACCAGCAGGATTTTGAAGATCTCGTTCTCACTAAGAGTGAATCATTGTGAGATCTCACAGACACTTTCACCAAAATAAACTTATACCATGGGTTTTCAAAAGACTGGGGGATATAATTAGAACACACTGAGTACTAACTTTATATTATAAATTATAACATACTAACCTATTACTTACTTACCTACACCTGTTACTCCTAGTAGAAGAGCATAGGCCACTCACCAGAATTCTCTATAGAATTATTGATGAATAGAGAATTACTTCATTAACATAATATTACAATAAACACTAATTAATCGTACATATTTGTATTTATGCCAGAAATTTAATTGTGTAATTTTTAAGTAATGTTCTGCATTTTTCCACAATTTGTTTCGCATTTTAAATTTGAATGTGGCAAAAATAAGAATGGTAATAGAATAATCGATGAGTTCCCGCTAGTTGTTCACAACATTACTTACCTACTTCCTTACGCATGTGACCTCTCATGGAGGAGTATAGGCCGCTCACCAGCATTCTGCATCCAACTCTGTCCTAAGCGACCCTTTCCAGTTGGTATTCATTATTTTCTCATCTGCCTCCAATTCTCGACACAGTATATTTTTAGTTTTCGTCTTTTCCGTTTCTCTTTAGGTTTCCAAGTTAGCTCTTGTCTTGTGATGCAGTTTGGTGATTTCCGTAATGCATGTCCCATCCACTTCCATCGTCTTTTCCTACTTTCCTCATCAACTGCAAGTTGGTTTGTTCTCTCACATAGTAGGCTTTTGCTGATGGTATCCGGCCAACAGACATTTCACATATTTGACAGTAGTTGTGGTAGCTCTCCAAGTTTCAGCTCCATACAGTATAGCTGTCTTAACGTTTGTAGTTTAGTTATTGGAAAATTGGTGATCCCATAAAAAACTTCGCTGAAGTAACCTAATGTTCAGGTATTTAAAATAAAGCAATTAATGTAATAATTAATGAACCCAAACAATGTCAGTGGAAAAGAGGGATTATGAATAAAATCATATAAAACAATCCCTTTAATAATCCTGTTTGGAATCAAGAATAGCGTTACTATTGACATGAACCAAACCAACTAATTATGATTTCAATATCATGCATTGTGTCATTTAAATGATTGATTTTATATACATCTATTTTACCTTTTAAAATAAAGTCATGTCCAACGATTTGCTTCAAATCCTATCTGAGCTTCTAGTCGAATGAGAGAGTTACCCGGGGAAATTAGAGTCTAAAATAGAGATTTTGTTTAGAAAGCGGTATTGTTATCACGAAAATATGTGTAAGATAGTTACAAACCACTGTTCATAACGTGTCTCAAGTATTCAAAACATTAGTTTATCTAGGAGTGGAAAATGCTGTCTGAAATAACCGTATCAATATCAGCTATAAAACTTGATAATATAAATGATAGTCACGAAGTATGTCTAAAGTAAACAATAACCGTTGGAAACTAAGAACATGCAGTATGTTAACTATCATACTTAAACGTGCATTCAGTGAATGCGTGAAAACTCCAAACAACTATGATAACTTTTAACTTACCGTACTAAGTAAACTGAATATTAGAAATTTATGTAAATACTTCAGAATGTTACAGAACGCAAAATAGAGGTATGGTACGGCATAAACTGAAATGATGAAAGTGAACTAACTACTGAATATTCTTAAGTAGTACAACGTACCACACAAAAGATTATCGATTGAGAAGAAATTTTGGTGTTTTGTTTTTTGAGCTTGATGGTTTGGTTGTGGAGCTTTTATTGTTATTCCGAATGATATCAGCACAAACTTTTACTTCATCCACCTGAGCTACAAATCTTTCCCATCATACCATTGAGAAGGAATGACGGTGAGATGAATAAGTAGAATTAACAATTTGTCTCACGCAATTATCACTGAAGTCTTTTTATAATCGGGCTCCCTTTTAAATCCAATGTTATTTACTAAACTCGCTCACTTTGCTGTTGTCCTTTTCTCATCACAATTCAGGTTTAAATTATTAAGTTCGAAGTAAAGACCGGTGTCAGGCAAGGAAGCATACTCACACCCTTTCTCTTTCTCTTGGTGATCGACTGGATCATGAAGACGTCAACATCTGAAGGGAAACACGGGATACAGTGAACATCTAGGATGCAGCTGGACGATCTAGACTTCGCAGATGATCTGGCCCTTCTATCCCAAACGCAACAACGAATGCAGGAGAAGACAACCAGTGTAGCAGCAGCCTCAGCATCAGTAGGTCTCAATATACACAAAGGGAAAAGCAAGATTCTCCGATACAACACAGCATGCACCAATCCAATCACAATTGACGGAGACGATTTGGAAGATGTAAAAACCTTTACATATCTGGGCAGCACCACTGATGAAGGCGCGGGTCGGCAAAACAAGAGCAGCATATTTACAAATGAAGAACATCTCGAACTCAAAACAACTGTCAACCAACACCAAAGTCGGAATTTCCAATACAAATGTCAAGACAGTTCTACTGTTTGGGACGGAAACTTGGAGAACTACGAAAGCCATAATTATACTAAATATAGTAAATCATAGTTGACATCACGGACTGATCTTAGTTGACCACATAAAACCATAAGGAATGATCCTAGCATTGGACTCATTAGTAGTAATGCATATTTACGACCCTATCAAACCTAGGATTCTAATGTCTCAAAACATACACAGCCGATGAACTACTGAGTTGGCAATCGATAGTTGATACGTTTAACTTTGATCGGCTCGAAATATTATGTGAACATATTTCCAATTTTGGTACGTAAACCATTAGATACGAACTCAATGATCCAAAGGCAATGCACTGGTTGTGAGACTTGGTTATCCCGGGTTTGATACCTTGTAGTAGGGTTCTAGATGTTTATTGCCACTGAGTGGTCTTATGCTGGTTTCCAACGGTTGTGTACCGTTGTCCAGTACGTGATAAGGATTAAAAAAGTCAACAACTGGACAAGAAATAGAAAATGTTTTCAGAAGAAGTCAACTAAGGAAAAAGCACGACTATACATTATTTGAGATTAAGATTGAACATAAACAATAATTAATATAATTTACAATAAGTGAAATTGTAATATTTACATTATCTTTCAAAACTTTCCGAAATCATGTTATCAATCAATAAGTGCGCAGTGATCTTTTATCAAGAGAACGCGATTGGTTTAATGGAAACAATTATTATGATAACCAATTGTACCAGTGATTGTTTTTCTGCGCCTGTTTGTTTAACTGTACTAAAGACATCCTTCTTTCTTCCGATGATTATGACATTGCACGAGTTCGGTTACGCTCAATAACCACACTTGTACTCCTTTGGTACGCTCTCGGTATTCTTTCGATACCACGAGTTCGCCAATAAATACATCTCGACTACAGCCGTCAACTGCATTCTGATACTTGGCCTACGGGGCATGTTATCGGTTAACTGGCACGTAGTCTTCCTGCATTGGTGATAATAGTCAACCGCGACTCAACGCTACACTACAATAGGTCAATATATTTGGTGTGAATGGGGACAAGTTGGACCAAATGACCACGTCCGCGAGGCTGAGCCATGCTAAACAGATCGAAAAGTTCCCGCGTTCATCTTTGTCAACATTCTCTCCCTGTCGAACTTTGACTGGGAATTTTCTCAGTTATCTTATGTTCAGCTTTGAGGATCGTGTGGTTAGAATCAATACCACTAAAAGTGTAATGTTTAATCACCACAAATAATTTACTACACAAACTGTCCTCAGTCAAATGACCAGTGGAAATCAGGAAGTACTGGATATCTCTACCATGTCAGCAAAGAACTCTTCTGTGACAGTGAGCACCATCGTAGGTCAAGCTCCGAACCTTCAAATATCTCGGCTACTTCTCAACTAAATTAGTTTCACATATTACAATATTTCTATTGAATTAAGGGCACTTTGTTCAGGATTTTATCACATTGTTCTCAATCTGACAACATCTGTTTGTATAGTATCACAGTCTTTTTCCTTCACCAGGTACTCGTCTATCCGTAACCTTTACAGTGTGTTTTATAAATATCTAGAGATTTTCATTTCTCTTACGGCACACATAATAACCTTTGAATAACACATTCGGTCTGAAGATATAACAATATAGCCGATACAATGATCTGGAGGTCACGTAGATTGACCATGCTTGGATGGTCGAGCCATATCATCTGGATTAATTGTTCCCACATTCACCTAACATTCTTCAAGCGTCCAACGGCTGATAAGAGTCTTTTAAGTTATTGTACGTTCCGGTTCACTGATAGTGTGATTCAATACTAATGTCATTACAAGCAGTCTAGTTATCCGACAAGCCCTATCTAGTGGGAAAAACTGACGCCCTTCGAAAGCCACGAGGCTGGTGCCTCTTTCGATAAACAGAGCATCAGTAAACATAGGACACGGAATATTCGAGCAATGTAGAAGTCAAGGAGGGTCTGTAGTGGCATTGGGCCCTAACTGCACAGTCCTCAAAGCTGAACACGAGACAATTGGGGAAGTAGATATTTAACATTTAACTCCGAGAAAAATCCAACGATGAGGAAGA